GTCATGTCTGAAGGGCCAGTAAAGCTTTGAAAGGAGTTTGTTCTTCTTCTCACCCTTTTTGAGCTGGTCATCACGGCAAGCAATGTTGTGATGGAGAGGGTTTGTGGCTTTGTGAAGGCTTTAGCTTTTCCTATGGCTGAATTGACCTTTTCTTTCTGAAGTTGTCAGGCCTATTTGCTCTTTCCTCATTCACGCATGCTCATCATCAACTTCCTTTCCGGATGGTGTGGATGGCCAGATGAGATCAGAGCACATATGTGACTTTCAGACTAGCAGCAGATTTATATACTGATTACTAAAATTTCCAAGGTTTCATTGTTGAAGAGCACATAACTTGAGATGCACTGAAGCTTCGTTGGCTCAAACCTTCGAACTGTGATTCTCATCAATCTTGTGTGGCTTGCCCATGGCAATCTTTATCTTGGGGCTCCTTGCTGTGGCCTCTGCCTACCGTGCCGCAGAAGAGCTTGACTCGCACAGCATTTTGGAGCACAACTCGAGCCTTCCCTTGAAAGGAGCGAAATGTTCTTGTTCTGACACCACCTGGGAAGATCAGAAAACGGCACCTTGCTGTGCCAAAGGCTTGGTGTGTGAATCGAAAAAATGCAAGCCTCAACTTTTGCAACCATGTTCATGGAAACCCGGCAGCACCGAGTGTGCGGGGGGCATCTATCAGCGGGACACCAAATGCGAGAAGGATAGTGAGGGAAAGTACCGCTGCTGCATCAAGGACTGGGGTGAAGTGTTGTCATCTGAATCTTCGGCAGCGAGGCGTGTGCCCGTGGGGCCCAAGAGTGGAAACTGGCAGACGTTGCCCTGGGGTGCATCTGCTTACACAGAGGCTCAGCACAAACAATGCTGTACTGGAAGGATGGACACTCGGGGGGTAGGATACACCACCAGACGTGTTGAGGTCTGCTGGAACCCTGGTGCCTAGATGGCCTAGAGTCTATAGCAAGGCTCCTCTCAAGTGACCGCAGTGAGTGTGCGACAGCTGATCAAAAGGAGTGCTCGATCGTCGCGGTGCGACTAACGCATTGTTTGTTTGTCACTATGGGGTCCGGTTACATGAAACATGGCCGAATGAGAGCTCGCTTGATCCCATGCTTCTGCACGAAAGTCTGGGGTTCTGATGGCTGCCTGGGTGAAGGTCTTGAAATTCAACAGGCTCTTGGGCTCTTCCCGGTTTGTACATCCTATGGGGTTGTACTCGTCGGTGCACCCCAGTGGCAGATTTTGCCGTCAGTCCACCTTGCAAGACCTCAATTTACTAAATCCTGAAGAAACAGGAGAACCCAGTCAGATGGAGGAAAAGATGGGGCCAGAATTCTACGGACCTTTCAATCCTTGCCAACTACTGCATGCACTACTGGTATGCAAGATATATAGGAATCACTGGTTCGTATGATAACAATTGGGGTGAGTCAGCGATTTCCACCTGGAAATCTGCCTTTTCTCCTGCAAACCAACTACTGCTGCTGGCCCTCCATCCAAGGCGCGCTGTTGATCCTGGCTGGGCAGAAGAAAGCTGCTCCCTCTAGGACCTTCTCAAGCTGCATTTTGAATAGAGTCAAGTAAGACATCTATATAATAGGACATCCATCAATTTGGACATCTACAAATTCTAGGAAGCCCCGAATTTCTTTGAGGTCGCCAATTGCACGGCTTTGATTTTCAAAAGCGCAGCCACTTGCAGCCACTCGAGTGGCGGCAAGTGAGAGCAAGTGAGGGCAAGTGGTCGTGGCCGCCCGAGCACGTGGCTGGAAGTGGCCGCTCCGAGCAAAATCAAAGCGCACGTCATTTGCCTACTCTCTCTCTCTCTCTGCCAGTTTGTTGAACAGGACGTGAAAGGAATAACTGAAATGAGCACAATTTGGAAAGACAATGAGAAGGAGACGACAAGGAACAGGAATGAAAAGGACATTGAAAGAACCTGGAAAAAGGAATTGCAAGGACAACCAACAAAATCTGAAGGGGGTTCTGTGTGGACTGCACGCTACCCAGATCTATAATTGCGCCATGTGTGGGTGGCCTTTTAACAAGATGGACATTATCAACCCTATTCTGACTTGACATTTAGACCATTTTAGAGCCTTTGGCTGCCCAGTTGTCTGCCGTTGTGTTTTCTTTTGATTCTCCTTAACAGCTGTCACTATTTGATTGCCCGTTGATGTTCTCTCGCAGATTGCAACTAACATGGAAGAAACTTAGCACATGCATGCACTGTGTGATCTGGCACGAGTGTAAAGCAAGTACTGTATATAACTAGTATGAGATGTGGCACAATGTGGTCGCTTCTGCTATATATTTGATGGACAAGAACGCCAGTGTTGTGGGGCATGAGTAGGCATTGTTTTGGATGGAGGTTTAAGGAGAACATGTGGTTTGGAACTTTGTAGACGAGGCAAGTTCTATATATTCTAGGTTTGAGGTGCGGCAGGACAGCTTATTGCGGGCTCCACCAGCTCAGCTCTTCGTTTAGCTTTCAACCAGCTAGGCTGCGCTATTGGCCAGAATACAGAAGTCAGGTCGGGCTTGTCATTCTTTGTGTTTTTACAAAAGCACCTCAACTGACATTGCCAAGTCAAGCAGGCTTTTGAGTGTCGCCTGTTTCAGCCACAGGAGCTGACGCATAGGCAGCTGCATCAAAGGCGCAAGTTGAAAGGTGGCCCTTTGCTCACTCGCAAAGGGAAGACAGTGACGACAAAGCAACCGCATTTAGACCAGAAAAGACCAGTGACGCACGAGTCCTGAATGCATGTTACGGTGGATTCTTTTGCTATTCGGCAATCGTCCTTGCCCTCTGGAAGACCTAAACATGTGCCGCCCTGATCCGCCTTGCATTTTAGCATCTGGCCTGTCATGATCAGAAATGCCAACACGTGGACATAGGTAGATGAACATGCATGAACATGAAGCATTTGCTTTCGCAACTGGAGTTGGTTTGGAGTTTGGACGATGGAGACTACGGTCCTCATCAAACTTGTTTGACAAGGGCCGTTTTTTCCCACCTAGAGAACTGCACTGGCAAGGAGCGCAAGTCATGCCAATGGGCAGACATGAAATGGACTTGTGCTAACCTCCAGCCGCAATATGAAGGCCGCATGTCAACACAAGAAGGTTTGGTGGAACTTCGCTTGTTGCCTTCCACAGAGCTTGGTGCCATGGGGCAGCTTTTTGCCAAAAAACACCAGGCCTTTCGCACGGTCGTCACTCGTCACCGCAGCAGACACCAGCTGGTGCCGAGCTGGTTGAGCCACGATAGCTCAGCTCCTGGAACCCACGGAATACATAGTCATATGCTGATGCTGGTGTTGGACAGATTTTGTGATTTGACATCAGAAGACTTTCTGATAGTCATGGAGTCAAGGACAATTTTTTGTTCCGCATAGGCAGCTCCGCCTCCAAATGTGGATCAAGATGACATGGCATTGTTCGTAAGCTCAGGACAGAACTTCCTTAAGATGACAGGATTGCAGAACCACAGTCGGAGTAGACGGGTGGTGCCAGGAATTTGTGACTATGATTGAAAGCTTCTTCAGCACCTTTGTATTGCTTGAAACTGCCCCAACTTGTCAACTTGCCACAGCACGAGGCTGGACCTGAAGGCTCAGAGGGATCAGCTGTTGAGCAGCCGCCGGCGGGTCGACAGTCGGTCGCAGAAAGCCCATGAGGTTGCAAGGAGCGGGAATTTGACACACAGTGGTCGACTCGAGCCAGGTCGTGGTTTTCTGATATGAATGGACCTAGGGACCTAGTGAACAGACAGATGTGAATAGTGGATTTGTCATCATTCCAATCCAAGTCAAACTCTCGAAACTTGGAGGTTCTTTTCGGTCCTGTGGGGTAGATCGGTAGATCAGTATATATTGCTGCCATTATTTCTAAGGCCCTTACACTTAGAAGTTCTTTTTGCTTTGGCATCTCTTTTTCTCCACAACTTGCACCTGTGCCGTGAAACACACGAGGGATTCCTACCTTTCCAAACTGGAAGGACCTTGGTGGCAAAGGGTCAGAAGAAGGAAGCGGTGTTGATCTTAGTCTCGTCCGCTCAACGGACCCAGGACGAAGAATGACAGGGTGGAGAGCTACTTCTTTAGCCCAGGGTTTACTGGTAGCTAGTTCCGAATATTGCGCAAACTTCTACGTTGAGCTTTTTAAACACACGATTTACAGTTGAGACATGTTGAGACTAAAGAATGCTGAGATGCTGGCGCTGCGCCGTTGGGAGCAGCAGAAACGGCTGGGCGAAGATTGCCAAAATCATCTAGCGAAGCTGGAGGACGTTTGTTCGGAGAATCCGCAGCACTTCTTCCGCAGCACAACTTTGAAGGGGACAACTGGACAACTGCAGATATCAGATATTCTTTAAACCGGGTACTCGTAATACAGTTTCCTGATTTTTTCTGTTCTATTTGTGCCATGCTACTAGGTACCTTTTTGTTGTGGACGGGGAAAGCCCCTTCAGGAGCTGATCTTCAGCATTGAGATGGCCCAGACGACCCGCGGAACTGTGGAGGCGTTAAAAACGGGAGTAGCGTGGAGCCTCAATGACAGAGGACGCGAGCTCCGTGGAGACGGCAGCTTGGTGGAGCATGATGTGGACGGCAGGAGCAGGTTTACCAAGCATCAACGAGGATTCGGCCACCAATCCAGCCCGTACCAAAACAAACTAGCACAGTATATAACTGGTATCACCAAGCATGACATGCCTTGATTGGTAAGATATGTCCTGTATATAAAGCAAACACTTCAAAAACATATTCCAGGTTGTAGATCTCAGCTCCTAAGATATCAGCCGGGTGCACCGTCTAAGATCCACTGGCTGAGGCCATGATGAAAAGGATTCAAAAGGACATCGGAGGCCACGTGAATGGTAGCTTCAAAAGAAACTCCCAGACGCACTTGCTGTATCAGATCTTGATCAAGCCCATTAGATGGTTTGTCACATGGCGGAACATCCACATGGTGGATCTTGAGTCGCCTTTTCGGGGGTCATCCCAATAAAAGTCCTACCAGGAAGAGACCTTTTCATCAACCGTCTTGTTAAGCTACAAAGAAACAATTTGTGCTTACATACCAGCATTCTTACCAGCCTGCAAGTGTTTGGTGCGATGCAGGTCCACATTGATTTCTGGCAAGACTGGAATCGATTTCGCACGAACAAAGCAAGCCTCTAAAGACATACACTTTCTTGTCTTGCTTGATAAGTTGCCACTGGATCAAAGGCATCGCCAGGACTGAGTGAAAGTCGGGTACTGAAAGTTTGTGACCGTTTTCTTTTGATTTCAACTTTGTAATTCAGTTTGGGACCACAAGACATTGCATGACCTTGTGTGGTAGATTGCACCCAGACGCTTGATGTCATTGTGTTTCACCTCAAGCTGGCCCACAAAAACAATCATAGGGGAACATTCTGTCAGAGACAATATCCTTCATTGCCTTATTTCTGAATCTCATCATCCTTTGATTCCGAAGATACTTTGCTTCCGGCAGGGGTCGATCAAGTCCAGCGACTGCTTGGCGACCAAGAGGAAGCCCAAAGCCCCAGCGGGCTCAGCGGGCCACTGGAATCAGTGGGCAGCTGGAATCAGTTCAACTGGAACTATCCTGGGCGTACAGAAATTGAAGAAACACAATTTGTTGTCAATTGTATATGTTCTCCCCAAACAGTGTGGCAACACTAGGAGTAGTTACGGTTAGAGTTAAGGACGGGTGTTAAACCCTAAACCCTAAACCCTGCAGAATCTGGTGGGCCGGCACGGGTGCTCTTCGAGACTGCGCTCTCGTTGTGGTGCCCTGCACATTATCGGACACCTCATCATGTTTTGGTGGCAGGTGCAAGGGAAAACTCATGTTTTGGTGGTCCAAACTCGACTTTTCGAGGCAGGTGCAGGAGACTGGAGGGGACTTATGTCGATGTACAGATTTCGTGGCAGGCGCAGTACTTTGGACATGATGGTGATCTTCGGCGTGCTCTGATTTCGTGGCAGGTGCAGTGAGCCGTGACTTTTCGAAAGGTGGCTCGTTTTCAGAAATCGGATGAAGTCTTGAGCGAAAGCTGCGTTTTGGCATCTGGATGTCGTCTTTTGAAGTGCTCTTGCTGCGAATCGCCTTGACTGGGCTTTGTGGACCTTGAGGTGCAGATTTCGTGGCAGGCGCAGCACTATGTGCACCTTGACGTGTGGATTTCGCGGCAAGCGCAGTATTTTATGGAGCTTGAAGTGCAGATTTCGTGGCGCGTGCAGCGCCTTGTGGACCTTGAGGATCTTCAATTCTAAGCCTGCGGTTTGTAACCTCCATCACCACTACCACTATCACCACCATCACCACCGTCACCACCACCACCACCACCACCAGCACCGCCGCCACCACTGGGCCACCACGACCACCACCACCATCACCACCATCAACATCATCATCACCACCATCATCCACCATCATTTCCACCATCACCATCCCCTCACCATCACCACCTGACAACCATCATCACCACCAGCATCCCCACCACCATGGCCACTTTCGCCACCATCATCACCAACATCACTACCAACCACTACCATCGCCACAACCATCACCACCACCGCTACCATCACCATGATCTCTCCCTTCAGCGCCACCATCACTCTTGGCAGCTCCTCAATAACAATTTTGCATTTGCCTGCCAGTCTGGGCTACCGTGTCCGCGCTCCGGCAACTCCTTAGCAGCGTGTGTCTGACACTCTTCGCTAGTGTGTTCACCTTGTGGCTGCCCGCCTGTTGGCAACTCCTTAGTAGCAAATCTTTACATATGAATTCTTTTCATTTGTCTCCCACTCTGGGTTAGGGCGCCCGCTTTCTGAAACCTCCATAGTGTCAATTTTTTTACATTTGTCGCCCAGTGTGTCCGCCTTCTGGCAACGCCTCAGTACCAATTGTTTTCTATGGCAACTTCTCAATAGCAATTCCAAACATGTGTCTAGTCTGGGCTAGCAACCTGCTGGCAACTCCTTCGCAGCAATTCTTCACATTGGTTTCCCAGTAGTCTGGCCAGTGTGCCCGCCTTCTGGCATGTGCCCAGTAGCAAACTTGATATTTTTCTTCCAGTGTCCGCTTTTTCTGGCAAATCCTCAATAGCAATTCTTTATATTCACACCGCTTCGTGGCAGAAGCCGCCCGCGCAGATTAAATGGAGAATGTGTCAGTAGCACCCCACGAGGATACGGGTTGGTGATGAGCAACTTGTGCTGTCGGAGCCGGCCTGTCTCGGTCTGTCAGTCTGTCTGTCTCGGTTGGGCAGGACACGGGGACGAACGCACGCACGAGTCAATAGTCTGTCTCGGTCTGTCTGTTTTGGTCGGGAAGGATACACGGATGAACACACAACCACGATGTCAATAACGCAGTGTCCCCCAGGCTGCATATCCGGCATTGCGAACGTTTACCTCCAAAGCCACACGGACAATCGCACACACACAATATCAGTTCCATTTTCAAAGAGCGTCAAAACATCCACATTCTAGACCAAAACTATATAGGGCCCCCCCAAGCTAATTATCTAGCAGCTGCGTGCGGACTATTCCAGTTGGTTGATTGCCTCGAAGCGGGCTATTGCGTCCGCCTTCTGGTAGAAACAATGTCTTCCACTGGTCATTTTTTGAGATGCAGATTTACGGCGGTCAACTGTTTGAGTTTGGGGTCTACGGCGGTGTAATTTGGTGTATCGGAATTCTACCTGGTAGCAAAGCTCCAAAAACATCGTAAACGTGCAGTTTCAGCACCATCGGCCAGTCCAAGGCGATTGAAGCCCAGCAGGAGATTGCTGCCATGTTGGCAGGGGATGGTCAGGGGCTTAATTGGCTTAGCGGCTTAGCAAGCAAGCATTGGTCTGGCCAAGCTTGAATTCTCCTCATTCAGACTCCAGGATACAAAAAGCATCCATTTTGGTTGCACAAATCGCAAACATTCATACTCCGTGCTCGCTGCCGTTGCAGTGCGTTCGATCCGTGAAGGATCTCTTTTGAAGATGTTTGCCAAGCTACTAGTAGGGATTGACATCCTCCAGCCGCACATTCAAAGGAAGCGGTTGTTCAAGGGGGTCTGAGGGGCAAAAATTCACCCACGTCTGACGTATAGGGACTTATATAAGTATAACAATATAACCAGCACAATTTCCATTAGCAACAATTTTCAGGCTCACTGGACTCGGATTCCACAAGTTTATAACTGACAGGATCAGTGCTGCGTGGGGGATAGTGGATTGAAAAGGATTTCCTTTCGATATGTCGAGAACGCCAAGGTGTCGAGGACGCCGAGATGCTCTCGGAGTTGTCACGACTTCAGGAGAGCGTTATACAGAGAATCATCACCGCCCGAAAGACCCATGGACGCCCCAAAGACCTGGTCTGTTTTGGAAGGTCTTGACCCAGGCCCAGCTCATGTGCCGCATGCGCCCAATGTCTGAAATTATGCGATGTGATTGTCAGTCCTTGAGTAGTTTAGGTACAAGGATCAGAGTTTGCTAATTGAAATGGTGGGCCATTGGTGGCTGATCCAAAGGGGCTCTGAGTCTGAGTGGACCCGCCGAACATGGTTAAGCTTTTTTGGCTTCGTCTGGGAAGCAGGAAGAAGCTGCTTTGAGCACTTTGACGAAGGAAGATCCGCAGAAGGAGAGGTTGGTAATGTTTGGATTGGACAGAAACGATGCGAACACATGTAGTTTTTCTTGAATAGCTCCACAAGTGATGGCTCGCTAGGCCATCGCTACTAGGTTGGAGGCCATCGCTATTAGTGAGTCAAAAGAAACCATTTTCTTCAAGGAATCTATTCTCGTGAAGCGCTCCATGAGCACCATGTGGAGGAGAAGGAACCTATTCCTGCTGTGGTGCCTCCAGAGACTGCAAGCGCGGAGGAGCCTCGTTTGCAACCCAGGTTATCCTTGCCTTTGAGATGTCAATCCCGAGAATTTCAGACTTTTGACACTGGTGTTGCAGGAGAAGAAACCAACTCCTACTGTCGAGTCTTCAACAGAGACAATGCGGGCAGAGGACCTTGCCTTCGATGTTCAGCGAGAGTTGAACCGTTCTTTCTTCAGGGTTTGAAACCCTGCAAGCTTTGCATTTTAGAGAGGTTCCTGGAGGCGTTACCGTATTCTGTGTGTAGGATATTTTGGCAGCAAAAAGCAACCCAACTTTTCTTAATTTGATTGCAAAGATGGCTTCAAGGAGAAGCCATTTAAGCCTGCTGAAGCAGTGCCAGCCACAGACAAGACAACCCCACTCCTGCAACGCTCATCTCTAGCTCATGATCGCTCACCCATGGCCAATGGCCAATCCTTATGGTATTGCGATTCCAGAGTTTCCCGAACCTGAGATTACTTTTTCTATGAACTTTTTCCAAAGCGCGGGACCTGCACAGACCAACTTTACTGCGGCTTTGCTGAGTACACATTTGCAGCATGGTTCTTCTGCCACTTAGGCGGCAACCCCGGTGCCTGCTTGAGGTACAGGGAGGCTGGGAGAGTGTCATTTGATATTTGTGATACTGTATCGCAAGAGGTTTATAATTCCACTGAACATATCCTAGCAAACTGAGCAACAAGTACCAAGAGAGAATTGCCAAGTACCAGGATTCCAGGCAAGCTCACATTGGCCGTCTCATACTTCGAAGGACTCAAGTTGGGAACAAGCAATCGAGGTGGAGACGTTTCCACCCCGAGCAAGGTTGTAATACGAAGTAGTGCGATCAATTTATTTCTGGGTGGAGGCTCCTCTGTCTGAGTTCCACTGTGATCCTTTGTAGGTCTCCAACGGGAAAGGGTTGTCAGTCATGTCTTTATAGGTGCGTTACCAACTTTTGCTTTGCGATAATGTATATATATATATGTAATATACACATAAACACAGTTATATAAGTAGCTTGGAGGATGAGACCGCTAGGATTAGAGAATGGGCCTGGCATACGCCAAGCTAAACTGCTCTGTTGGATGTCTAGGCTAGGGCCTGTTGCAATGCAGTTTGTAGCTAAGATTTTGCAGCTTGGTGCACTTGGGAGTCCAATGCGCATTTCAACGCGCCGCTGGCGAGCTACAGGCTTCCAACTTGCCGACTGCCAAGCAGCCGCAAAAAGCAACGGGCAGCATGTGTCGCGCAACGCTGGGTTGCTGCGTGCAGCGCTTTCAATCTGATTGCGGAATGCTTTGCCTTGGACGATAGTGCCTTGATTCTGCCTGGAATGCATGCATGGGTAAGGAAACTGGCTATTGGCTGCAAAGGTTTGAGAGACAGGGAAAACCCGCCCAGAAACATCTGCAGTAGACTTATCAGTCATGGCTCTTGGGATGAAGAAGACTTCTCACAAATTGCTTTCGTTCTAGACACGCAAGCTGGCACAAACCAACACAAGCCACGTCCGTCTTGAAGAGTCTTTTACATCCATGCCTGTGTCAGGGTGAAAAACACAGAGGCTAGGCCTAGGCGAGGGTTGATCTCAAAGCCAGGACTACTCCAGGAAATAGATTCAGTTGTCAGTCAAAAAGTGGTTGGGATGGCGACTTCAGTATAAACAATGCATCATATTCGTGATCCGCGGCACATCCAGCACTCAAAGCCGGGGGGCTGAGTGGATATATTCCTATTGAGCATACAAATTGTTTCGATCTTCCAACCAACAGGCTCTCCCAAACAATCTCAGCCGTTTACAGTCTCAGCCCCAAGTTTCCTCCTTTCAATGCAAACGCTGTTGCAAAGCACTATGGACTACGGAAATGGCAACACAAAAAGCATTTTGCGGCAGTTTGCAACACTTGAGCCCTTGCAAGCCCTTGACGTACTTCCTTTGTACTCGTACAGGCCAGTGGGGTGACTTGAGAGGTCGTGCTTGAGAACGGAGCAAAGTAATGTGGCACAGGTTTGTCCACAAGTTAAATAGAAAACATAATGAACACTTCTTCAGTTTTATCATTTATGTCAAACGCGTAGTTTAGATCCTTATGATATGTTTATTTTTGCCATATGGCTATGGGCGTTCTGACAGTTGCATAGTTCAGTCCATTCTTAACTAACCCCACCCATCCATCACCATTTGTGAGGGGTCGATGAGGTATCGACAGAGGCCTCTCGACAGAGAATACGTGTTCTTTCCCCGACAAGATTTCCATGGCGGTCGACAAGATTTTCAATATCAATATACATGACAGAAATTGCATGAAATTACCTTTTAGGTCCGACAAAAACAGGGGTGAAGTCCGACAACAAGAATGGGTGAGTGTGCAAGGTGTGAATTTTACCGCGGCTGTTTAGGTTTCCAATTCAAGGCACCAATTTCTCACTTACTTGTTACTTCTGGCATGGACATATCTAGATTGTAGGCTTACCACCGTTTTTTGCTTTTTGTCTCCTATGTTTTGACCGGTTTTTGCCTTTTGCTTGTGAGCTCGATTTTTCGATGAGGCCTAACTGAACAAAGAAAAGAAAGAAGAAAGAAGGAAAGAAAGACAGACAGACAGACAGACAGACAGAAAGACAGAAAGAAAGAAAGACAGAAAGAAAGAAAGAACGAACGCACGAACGAAAAAACGAAACTCAGAAAAGCAAAAAACAAGGAACCGAAAAGAAAAGATAGGAATGGAAAAGAGAGGAGCAGAGAGCTTTGTTTCAAGTATTGCTCGCACAAAATGTACGTTTGACCCACGGACACTGCTCGAAGCGCTTTTCATTTAGAGGCATTGAGTGAGGCATTGAATTGAGTGGATTGGGGTGGTCGTGGGGTATTGACGTTCTGCTGAATCATCAACGTCACCATGTTGCTTTTAAACCAGCGCCTAGACTTTATCTTCATTTGACAGACTTCATCTTCATTTTGCTTCACGTTTATCTTCATCTCATCCACTCCATTGCTTCATCCACTTCAACTTCGTTTAATTAACTTGACCTGCCTCTTCGTTCCATCCACTCCATTGTTTCAACCACTTCATCTTTGTTCCCTCAACTTCCTTTTGATCTTCGTTTCATCTTCATCTTCAAAATGGGCACCCGTGATCCAACTTAGCTCCAAGAAACCTGGCCTGACCGAGTTTCAGTTAGGTCACGGGCCGCGCAACTGGTGTGACTTAGCCAAAGCCCATGATTGGCTCACATGAAGGGGTCACTGCTATTTTTCTCATGACCACCCCCACAACCCATGAGAAATACCAATCATGTTGTGCCTCTTGAACAACTTATATAATAGCCCTGACGGTTTTTGACCTCCGTGAACTCGTGCATGAACAGGCTGGCAGCACGTTGCCTTGGACTTTCCAGCTGTCATTTCCTCCTGGGTGATTATGTTGTGTTTTTGTTGTGGCCTTTGCGTGTTTGGCTTTGCTTTGGTTTTCTAGCTCTCTGCTGATATTGACATTGACATCGCAGGCCCTTATATTTTGGTCCTGTTCATAGGTCACAGACTAACAGAAAGGTTTCCAGCTGTTGCATTGGAGGTAACATTGCTGGCACCATGGCTTGGGCGCTCAGTTCAATGGAGTTTGGACTTACAGGTGGTTGGCAAGGGAGCGAATGCGGGCAAACTCAATGTGAAGGCGCAGATGGATAGTGATGCTTGAGATCCCAGCACACGCGTGTCTGACTTGCAAAGGCACTGTTTTCAGACTCCCTTGTCTTGGAGGTTCTGTCTCGGGCCCCTTTGGGCTATTTGATGGCAACTTTTTTTGGCAGGGGGATGCAACTGTTTTCACAGGTTGGGGCGCGCTGTTTTGTCAAGTGAATGAGCAATTGACTTGAGTAGGAGTTTCAAGTAGCAAATCATTTGTGTTACACATCTAATTGGGGCGTAAACGCATCAATTCACACAGTGCCTTGGATGAGAAAGGTGGTGTGTTTGGTTATTCCATCCGTCCGGGTTTACATGGTCTTCTTGTTAGAGAGACCTGCGGCACGTTGTGCCTGGCCCAGGCATCACTATTGGGGCAGCGCAGGTGTGGCATAAAGTTCCTGTGGCTCCGCTCATGCATATATATATATATAGAGCGCACATTCGTACATGGCCATGTGGCTTCGTGTTGATCGTATTGAGAAATTTGATGGAGTTTGTAGTTCTTACCTTCAGCAAGCTTCATATTTTACCCGCATTGCGATGTATGCAGCGAGCCTGATTTGTGCACCAACTGTCAGTGCGGCTTTCACTCATGGACTCATGCCAAACAGCTGCACTAGGCACCAGACCACTGATTTAGCGGTGCACCAGCAAACGGAGTGTCTTGACGCAGGTTATCACCCTGTCAACAGGATCATCACAATCTCATAGTTGCACCTGGGATGCATTTGATGGACATTGAGTTTGAACTCGTCGGGACGGTTTCATGTCCACGATTTGACGAATACAAATCGGCCAACATGACATTAATTCAATATTCTTTTTCCTCATGTACTGAAGGATGTGATCGACAAGGAAATGTCCAAGCCTGAGAGCAGGACTGAGGGTTGCAAGTCGTGGGATTTGATCGACGTAATTATCATTTTGTACTGTGCATTGCATGTTTTCTTGTACACGGTTACACGACAAGACAGGGATACACACGTGGACATGAACTTTTGGGTCAGACCCGCGTGCTGTTCTTCCCATCCACCTGTGAGACAGTTCCTGTGAGACGAAAAGGAAGACCGCACCGCGATTTCGCTCCCCGGGACTGTTGCAGGATACATGAGAAAAGACACCCAGCAGAGGACAAGACTCCGGGGAAGGCGGTCCGATCCGTGACCGGTCCGACGGCTAGGCGGTCCGGAGCAGTTGCTGGGCGGTCATGTAAGAAAAGATACGCTTGGCATCGCTTGGCAAGCATCAAAGAAACGGCGCATGTTGTCAGAGTCAGCCAAGAGGTAAGAACTGTAACTATATATTAAACTATAGTAAATTGGTTATAGGCGAGAACAACTAGAATGCCCATTGACCCTTTTGAAGGAGAATCTTGAAGACATGAACTATTTGATCGGTTTCTGAAAGAAAGAGCTCCTTTGGCATGGCTCTCTTCGTCCGCAGTCCCCACTTGCAACGAGGTCTTGGCTTTGTGGGGAGATGAGTCCCATGACGAAGACTTCTACGTGGGACCCTTGAGCAAGTCATGCAAGCCAGAAGAGCTGGATGATATGTCCCAGCCAATAGGGTGGATTGAATCCTCAACAACTGCAGAAAATGGCTGAATAGGGTAAAGGGTAATACGGATCGTTGTCTGTTGAAGCACAAAAGCCAAGAGATTGCTATCGCTGCGGTCCAGACTACTATATTATATTTGCTAGCACTCAGTTGGGGATGGACCACTGGACATGGCCATGGACACGAGAAGACCTGCCACTTCTATAAATAGTGTCATACAACTTGGCCTTCCACTGAGAAGCAGTTTAGAATTGTTTAGGATCTGAGGCAAGCATTCACGGAGTACTATCCCGAGATCAGTACAAAGAGCAAGGACAACACGAATGTTGTTCAAATTAGTCCTGTGCAGGTCAGGCTTTGTTCACCTTGGGAAGGCATCCAGCGAGTTGTCACTTGATCTCTTCAAACATACAACATGCAAGTGTGTCCAAGGCTCCATACTTCTCTTCCAAGCCCATGAACTTTGACGGGGAGTTCTCCAGGCAGAAAACAGACCTGGCGTTTGTTTGTTTCCAAAGAGGCTTTTCAAAAGGCCTTTGCCTTTGTTTTATGCAGTAGAAGCGTTACTGTATCCGCTACAGATCTCAGCCATGGCTTGCTTGGATTTCGCAGGTCGTTCGAAGGGTAGATCAGAACCACTAGTTTGTTTGTGCTGGTCCCTTTCGCCCTTTGGAACGTGATTTGCATGGAATGTCCCAGCAGTTGAGTATGCATCAAGCCACTCCGTGTTACTATGTCGCATTGCCCTTCCACTCTGCCAACGGCTTTACTTGCCTGTGCAGGATGAGACATTGTCTTGGTGTGGTAAGCCATCGTGGCCACAAGCCGGAACAGCCAAATCAGGACAATGTGAAGCTTCACTGGATTGGACTACCTTGGAAAAAAATCACCATCCGGGGACAATCCTTCAGTGTCCAACTGCTTTTGCAGCAGACTTGAAATTTTGAAGGTTGTGGACTGTGACTATGTCTATGTAGAACAGTAACCATCCAGATGGCCCCATGTGCGGCGGCATGGGTTGATTGAGCGACCCAAGTGCGCAAAAGACACCCCGCAACATCGAAGGCAATCATTTCTTCGGGCCTGTTGTTTAGACACACATCCGTGATGCGTATGCATATACCATATATACCATATATACATACATATGTATTTGTGTCTTGGTGTCGAGCGCAAGGACGAGTTCTTTGTGCTCGTTCGGAAAGAGTCCGTGCTGATGGGCATCCTTGACGGTCACTTGTTGATGAGTGGAACACTTTGCAAGCAAGACACTTCCTGGAGGCCATCGCTCTTAGGTTAGAGGCCATTGCTTATAATGTTGATTGCTTTCCTATTACCTTGCAAGAAAGACACCTCCAGATTCCTCCCCGATGCCTTCCGGGTGATCGCGACGCTGTGGCTGCTTCGTTCTTGTGTCGTTGACGCCTGAGTTGTCGACGTTCAGGTCATGGCCCCCACGGACATTCCGTGGCGCACTTCGCTCAGGACTGGACGCCGAAAACGGACGCGCCGCACGCGGGTGGATTTTCCTCGACAGTCCTCTACAGGGTCTACTGATGCCAGTCCTTTTTCATCCTTTTTCCACATAAAGTTAGAGTTATAGCGGCAAGGGGTGAAAAGGGGGACCTTCTTTCTTGGTGAACATGTTGGTGAGATCAGGTTGGTGGGTGGTTAGGGGTTGTGAGGTTTCGGCGTGAAAAACCAACGCTTGTTATTCATGCTGTCCCACGCACACGCAGACATACTGTACACGCTGGAGAAGGGTGAATCAGCAACACCGATTGAACACTATCTGGTGGGTTCCAGAGCGCGTTAGACCCTTTACTGCAGAGTTTGCGGACCTGAGCCTGCCTGAATAAGCTTAGAAGAGTACTGTAGGAAATGAGACGGAGAACTATGTTGAGGACAAAAACGATCGAAATGAGCCGGTTGCAGCTTACCCCCAGGCTCTTCCCTACCACTCCCTTGCGTGGCCCCCTGTTGTATAGCAAACGAGCATGCGTAAAGTCCTTGGTGTACACACACAAACACACCCTGACGCTGAGCTATCCTGACATTGGCAGGGTTGCACAATACATTTTGCGTTTTGAATCGCCTGTTTTTTGCATGTGTAGGACATGTTCATCCAATCAGTTTCGGAGGAAGTTTAGATGGGGAACCCTGGCAAAACGGGCCTGGTGCTTGACAGACACTCGTTCTTTATGTGCTGCAGCAGCTTTCGGGTCTTTGCCAATCGAAGGAGCACTTGCCCGGGACTATCCTCGAAGGAATCAGAGAAGACCCTGAAAGCTGGGAGAAGTCTGTCAAGAATGCTGCAGGGCTGCCTAGCACATAGTAAAGCTTTCTAGTAACGACTGCACTAGGTGGAGGTCATCGCTATTAGGTTAACAATAAAGCTTTCTAGTGACGACTAAAGCTAACGTAGAAGCTCGAAAGTAACTAAGTCAAGCTATGTTGAGACCTGGCAAGTGTGTTGAGACATGTTGAGACCCGGGCAGGTTCCCTCACCCGCTTCTGAACCAGTATCACTATTCTCAGCGCAGCTTTATTTGCATCACTACTAGGATTTGGCTGGAATCTGCGAAGACCTATTCTGAAATTGATAGTCTAATGGATCGAACGGATAGAAGATGCACCTTCCAGCTGCGATTTCTTTTATACTTATATAAGTTTCCCTAAAAGTCTAGGAACCAAATGAATACAGTAGCGCGATCGCTTCTTCCTTGAAGAAGCGTGAGCTGTCTTGCGTCCTAAGTAGTAGCTTACTTGTAGGTACTAGCGACTCCCTAGCTTCTACTAGCTACCTACCTGGCTGACCTGCTAGCTACCTCTACTAGCGGCCTACCGCCCTGGCCCTTCCATCCTCAGGTGACCATGCTTTGCAGAGAATGTCAGCTGGATTCTGATATGGCCAATAAGGAGCTGATAGAAGTGAGAGTGGGTGGACTCTTCGACTAACAATGTAGAGAGAACATGAGAAAACAGCTACCAACCCCCTTGCAATATGCGGCTCATTGCGGTTCAATACTTTTCTTAGTCTAGCAAGTTCCCACCGTTGTTCGCAGCTGGTTGGTGTTGGCTTCACAACCCCTTGCCCACATTGACAGGCAAATGTTTCTGGAACCACAATGACCGTCCTCATGCTAGACAGCCATGACCCCAGGCGTTCTTGGATTGTTTGTTCGATTGTTCCTGCACCTGAAACGGTCATAGTTTGAGTTTTTGGTGGAACGTCGGCTTTGGCTCCACCCGGCCTGAACACGGAGAGTGCCAGAGGTGTTGAGCGGATCAAAATTGTGTGCAATTGATTTGGGATATATGATACATCATCCAAGAGTAGCTAGCCTGAGCTGTTGTCCAGACTGAGGCGCGAAGCCGTTGAATTGGCGCATCCGCTCTGCACACCTTGGAGATTCCATCGCAGTCGAGCTCCCAGTTGGGCTTTTGGCAGTTCCTTTAGGCACCGAAACTTTTGACCTTGTTTTCTTTTCTTTTTTCTTTGTTTCCAATAGGCATGGCCTCCACCCTAGTAGCGATGGCCTCCAACCTATGAGTCTGTCGTTTGTGGAGCCCTGCATTCGGCATTCGGCCATTCGGCGTTCGGCTCAGAGCTGATCTTCAAACTCGTGGCGTTCACCCGCCAATGTTGCGGGGCCGACCTTCGATGATGGATGACTGTGTGGCGGAGGGAAGTCCCACGAATGCCAAGAAGGAGTTTCAGGCAGGTCGACATTCGTCGAATTGCTTATAATTACTAGCTAGCAACTACTTTGGCCACAGGGGCATTGAAGGAGCTTTGCTATTTAGGAGGCTTTTATTGAGTTTTGCATGCTGGCAGAATCACGAAGCCATGCAAGCCTTCGGGGTGGACCTGTGCTTGCGCCCAGGCTGCAGTACAAGCTGCAACGGAGGACCAGGTGCCCGTCTAAAGCTTTGCTCAGAGGGCTCATCGGGCCAGCTAGGGAAAGAGAATTCCTGAAGTAGAACAGATCAACCGATGAGGCAACACACACACACATGACAGGAGGGAGGGTGGCGACTGATTCTATTCGTTCTTTCGAGTCTTGTCCTTCTTTCTTGTCCTCTGTCGTGCCGCTTTTGATATCTGGACATGGGAGGCGGAAAAGCTAAGAAAGCTCTATTCTGAGAGCTGGCGACGAAGTGACGTCCAGATGGGCCTCAAGCAGCCCAGGCCTCCCATCATTTCGAATGCAAATGCCGCACTTCAAGCTCTTGAAGAAGATCTTCGGGCTACCTATGCTCAAAGTGCCGGCAGCGGTGTGCACACAGGGATGGATGGTTGGAAACGCTCCTTCTGGGGCATGTTCATGGAGCTAGCCATTTGTGCCGGCTGCGTCCGCTGCAAGTAGGCCTGGGCCTGGACAGACTTTCACACAACTCTTCTTTAGTCGGAAAACAACCAATGCAGTATGATCGACTGAAGCTAACAAACGTTTCATTTTTGGTGCAGGTGTTGCACATAGCACAGGATTGCCATTTGGACTCAGCAATGTATGCAGTCACCAGATCATGTCAGGTGACCCCAAGCCCACTGCAGCTTCGCAAACTTTGCCAAATGTCCTGAGCGGCCACTGTGAAATACGTATTCGTTGCCACTGTCAACTTCAACTCCTGTAAACTGCGCTGCTAACTTTGACAGACTTTGACATGGTTCTCTATTTCCTCTGGGGCAAGAGCACACGACAAAGGTGATCAAACTGTCCAATCCACTGATACTGATACAGTATTTCTTGTTGAGTCCATCAAGGGTTCGTTGACAATGGCTCAGAGTGCCTCTCGACCTTTTTCCGCCACGCGAGTTCACGCACTAAAGAGGCACCTGAAAAAACAGTTCCGGAGGCTGAGTCTCCCCTTCAACATGTAAGACAGGAGAATGCCACTTCTAATGCTAGCCAGGTGCCACTTCTAATTCCAATGAACTCCGAGAGAATGGCGAGTCATGCCGAGAGAATGCCGCGACATCGCTTCGAACTTCAAAAGGGCGCTGCCCGTGGATTTGGCTGCTAAAAACTCATGTCGTGAGTCCACATTATGTGGTGACTCTGCAGGCTTGCAACAATCTCGCAACGCGCCGCTAATCGCCAATGAAGATGTATTTAAGGAGGTGGCTCTTTGTTCAGAAATATGTTCTTGGGAATTCGTGCTGGAGTGTTGATGGGAAATGAACTGGGCAGTGGGAGTGCCGGGAATGCGATCGAGGGCTCCGAACCTAAGAATGTGTTGTTTGTATATTGTCATACTATATATACTATAAATACCTTATATATGGTACCAACCTTCCAGGATAGACACTTACAGCAAAACCTGTGGCAATTTGGGATTGTATTTGGGATCTTACCCAAATCCTCAATATTATATAGATTGGTTTATTTATCTTCAGATCGAACATCTTTGCTCAGGGTTTATCGCTCTGTTCAGGATTTATCATTCATCTCTTGACAGATGCCCGGAAATCGAAGATATTGACATGTTGAAACATCCAACATGCTGGTTTTGCTTTGAGATTGCTTGAGGTTTTGGCGTATCGCAAGGGAGGGCCATGGCAGATTGACCAGCTCACTGACATCCATCGCCCAGACAGACAGGAGACTAGCCATTTTGGGCCTGAAGAAGTTGGGGGCCACTGCGACAGCATGTGTGTTTTGTGTGTGTGTGTGTTGCCGCAGGTCTTCTAGCCGGTCTGTGTTTAATCGCTTTGATCTGTGCGCAACTCCGGACCTTCATATGTCTTCTTGGCCCTGTGCTACGAGGATGAGATGAAGCGGATTCAAGATGCTGGCGGCAGTGCACGGGCCCAAGGGCTTGGATTCGGGGTATATACTCCGAAAAAATTCCCCACAAGCAGATGGATCATTGCGGACATGAGGTTTTGAGGGTTTTGAAGATGAGACAGAGAGCAGATTCAGCAAGCAGTCACCAAGAGTGTGATTGCTTGGGTGGTGTTGAAATAGGGCCCCCGATGTGCAAAGAGAATGGTGTAGAAGTCTAAATATATCTAAATATTTTAGGTGTTTCATGATTTTCAAAGCACGTGTCTGATGCATTTTTTTACAATGCTCCAGTCACCAGCCCAAAACATCGCTTAGTACCTTCTTGTTACTAGTAGTAATGCACTTGTTACTAGTAGCGATGCACTTGTTACTAGTAGCTTCGGCTTCTTCCTCCTAGTAGTAAGGCCAGGAGCCCCCAGTAGCGTCCTTGCTCCTAGTAGCGATGCCAGGAGCCCCTAGTAGCTTCTTGTTTCTGTTTGTTTCTGTTTCTGTCTTCACTTTTGTCGGGCTTTGAATTCACCAAGGTTGTGGCTTGTGAAGGGGAGTCGAGCAGACTGTTGGCGGGTGAGTGGAGCGCTGGGAGGGCCATCATGCCGACATGGGACAGATTTCTGAACTGTGTACAGCTATATATCTATATCTCTATATATATACATAGACATATACATATACGATATATATATATATATATGTATATGTACACACAATATGGTATATATATAATCCTGTGCAGCTCTTCAAGACACTTTGATCAAAGCTTCAAAGAGGTCGACACAAACATCACACAGCTTGTTAAACAACCAGAAAAAAGATTCAATAGGGACTCGCTACTAGTAGCAAAGGGCATCACTACTAGTAACAAGGGCATCGCTATTGGTAGCTAATTTGCTACCAGTAACAAGAAGGTACTACGGGCTCCTGGCCTTTCTACTAGGAGCAAGGACGCTACTAGGGGCTCCTGGCATCGCTACTAGTAACAAGAAGCTACTAGTAACTGTGGTGCGTGGCTGGGTGGTGAGTTAACCGACCTGCGCTGCTCCAGGAGTTTGGCGATGTCGCGCTCCTGGGGCGATTTTCATGCAGCGAGCGCCGGCCTTTCCCATGATCCGGAGGCACAGCAGAAGCCACAGAAGCCTGCCCTACATACCCTTTGTATACACAAATAAATTGCATTCATCGGTTTGGAGCAATATTTCCAAGAAGAGGAGCCGAATCCTGTGCTGTTGAACTTTTTGAAAGCACTTGGATATATATATATATACACACACATATAGATAGATACACATGCATATAGTTATGTGTACAATTGCGTACATATGTATATATATATATATATACGCATACACACACACAACTAGTCTTCGTTCGTCTCTGGCCACGTTGAGGGGCTGAGGAAGACAATTCAGAAGGTTGTTCATGAGGTTAACAGCCCGGTGAAGACCCGCCACCATCTTCCTTCGGCAAGACACAGCTGAGTAGGTCAGAGAGCTTAGAGGTTGCAAGGTGAACTGCAACGGCCACTCCCCTGTGTTTCCACTTGCCAAACATTTTGAAGCCGAGTCTTGTGGTCTTTCCCAAGCAAAACACAAAGAGATCAGAGAGGAGAGACAGAGACAGTGTCACTGGAAAGTTCAACGAATTTTAAGCCCATCCCTGGATGTCACCAAACCAGGTTTCCTAACCACCGCCCCAATACCGCACAACGCAAAGTCCACCAGCCACCTAAGCTCACCACTAGGGAAAAGGCGCACCAAGCCTCGCCCCTCTGGAGTGTATTGATTCTTTGCAATGCAACATGTACAAACTTGGGCGTATCCTCAGAGTTTGTCTTCCTTAACGGAGGCGTGCATGCGCAAACACTGCATAGTTCACAACTGCACACCTTGTGATGATACATTTACTTGAACGAACAATCTCAAGGACACGACCTTGCAAATGAGCAAGCGCGCACGCACACACTTCGAACTTGGGTTTTT